AGCTGCTTGAAGCCGATGCGAATGAGGCGAGCGTGCAGGTATTGTTGCCATAGCCGCGGAGCTTGCTTGATGCCGTAGAGCGACTTGATCAGCTGGCAGACGTGATTGGGCTCTCCGTTGGAGCCGTGCGGTAGCTCCACGAAAATTTCTGCATCAACGGGTGCATAGAGAAATGCGTTTGCGACATCGATTTGTCGCAGTTTCTTCTTCTTCATGGCGGCGATCGCGAGGAGGATTCGTAGCGACGTGTGTTGACTGACCGAAGGTTTCGGTGAAGTCGCGTCCGTGTTCTTGGTCGAAGCCGCGCACGACCCAGCGCGCCTTGAATTTATCAATGGTGCCGTCGGCCTTCGTCTTCACGCGGAAGACCCATTTCCCGGTGAGAATGGTCTTGTTCCGTGCTACGCCGATAGGGACAATTTTCCACGTGTTGCGCTCCTCTAATGCCTTTAGTTCTCTGTCCATGGCTTCGCGCCATTTTTCTTTATGCTCCCCCCCCAGAGCCTGCTGAGCTGTTGCAGGCTCCTTAGGAACGGTTGCGCCGTGGACTGCGGTGACGAGTCCAAGTATCTGGAGTCCACTCTGTGTGTAGCGGGGGAGTGTGGTGTCCTCGGGATAGACTGCTTCGTCTCCCGCTTCTGGTGTAGGATTGAAATTTGGTCCTACGCGTTCTGCTTCGTCGGTGTTGACTTGTGCAGGTGTAACGTAACCCTCGTCGGCGAGGTCGTAGAAGACGTCGGCGTTGATGCTTTCGCGAGGATTTTCGTCATCCATTGGGACATCCACGGAGCAGTAAGGGAGAGGTCCGGCTTCCTCCGAGGCTCCCTCCACGTTCTGCTCGTCCCAGTCAGCTTCGTCTTCTGCCGAGGCGAAGGCTCGGTTCCCAAGAAATCCGCCCGAGAGGTCAGGTCTGTTTTCTTCGACGTACATGAGGTGAGTTCCGAGGGTGAGGTTCTCGTAGAAGATAACATCACGTGCTGCTACTGTTTCCTTGCTGTTGATGTCGAAGATTTTCCATGCGTTGTAGTGTTTTTCGATGCCCAGGTGTAGTCCCCACTGTGCGCGTTGAGAGAATCGTCCAGCTCGTGCAGATGGAGGTCGGTACTGTACCATGCAGCCAAAAACTCTCAACATTTTTGTGCTGCCCAATTTTCCTGTCCACAGCAGATGCGGTGATGCGTTGTTCGGGAGCGATGATGACGAAAGCAGGTTGTGCAGCATCACGGCGTGGTCCATTGCTTCGGGCCACTGGTGGTTGGGCAGGTGCATGCCACGTAGCAGCTTGCGCATGGTGGCTTGGAGCGTCCTGTTCATCCGTTCTGCTACACCTTGTTGTTGGTGGGCGTAGGGAAGAGAGATAAGCCATTTGATCCCTCTTTCTGCCAAGTACTGCTTGAACCTCTGTGAGGTGTATTCTCCTCCCCCGTCTGACTGAAAACTCTTTAGCTTGACGCCCGATTCCCTTTCTGCTACGGGGAGCCACGCGACGAAGGCTTCGAAGGCCATGTCCCTGCTCGGAAGGTTGAGATGCCACACGTAGCGTGTCGCGGCGTCGATGAACGTGATGGTGTAACTGTAGGCGTTTTGTCCGGGTTCACGGTTGTATAATATGTCGCTGTACACCTTTTCCAGAGGTGTGTACGCAGGTGCGCTTGGATTGTGATGCGAGACGAACGGCTGATGCGGTAAGTCAGCTTCAGGGCAGGTGAAGCACGTTCCACGGGCTCGCTGAAGTTCTCTGCCGTCGGTCAGTAGGAGTGAGTCTTTGTCGAGCACTCCTGCTCTTATCGTGTTGTTTAACACTGTGTTGCTTGGATGTCCCATTCTTGCGTGCCAGGTTCCTTCAGTGGCGCGATGTCCGGGTGATCGTCGATACAGATCGGAGTTGGAGTAGAAGCCGGCAGTGACGTTGGTGCTTCGGTGGACTTCTCGTGGTGCCGGTTTTAACTGTTGTGCGGGTGTCGGTGGCGAATCGTCGATGAAGATTGGTGCCGTTGAAGGACCAGCGATTGGTGTCGATGTTGCCGCTGCTGCTGTTGTTGTCTCTGCTGCTGCCGATGTTGCTTCTGCTGCTGCTGATGTTGTTTCTGCTGCTGCTGATGTTGTCTCTGCTGCTGCCGGTGTTGTCTCTGCTGCTGCCGGTGTTGTCTCTGCTGCTGCCGATTGTTGAATTGTTGCTAACGCTCTTGTTCGTTCTGTCTCAGGTATCGTGTGAGAGTGCCAGAAACCACCGGGGCTGAAGTCTGGGTCAAGATCTGGAGGATGTGTCCAAGGAGCAAAGCTGACGATGCCGTCGCTGTTGGCGGTGCCAAGATCTGGAACAAAATCAAGAACGAAGACGTTGTTCTTGAGAATCGCTTTTCCGATGTAGAGGCCGCCCTTCCCGTGGTACAGTTTGAACTCCTGGGTGGTGCTGTCTGCTTCAAGGTGAATACCCTTCGTCATCAACTGACTGACGCTCAGTAAGTTGTAGCCGAGGCCTTCTGCGATTAAGACCTTAGACATCTGTAGAATGACATTTGTCTCTCGTGACTGAAGTTGTACCACGCCTTGTCGTCGTGTGCGCAGGTTCTGATTGTTGGCGACGGTGATGACGACTTCGCGTTGGGGTTGGTATTCTCGCTGCACGAAGCGTCCTGAAGAGCACATGTGCTGTCCGCAGCAACTGTCCAAGAACCAGGTGTCTTTCCCGGATGGTTCGCTTTGGGCGATGGCTGCGTACGTTGGGTTCGGTTGAAGTGATTCGCGGCGGGGCGTGCTATTGTCGGCCTGTTCTTCCGGTGAGAAATGTGGCGGTGATTCAGTGACGCAGGAGTCGGTCAGTCTTGCCATACAACTGACGATGTTCCTTGCCCCTTGTGCAGGTTGTCTTGTTGGTGTCGTTGAAGCTTGAACCTGGGTCGTGGGATTCGCTTGTGTTGAGGCAACTTGGCTGCTTGAAGGTCGAAGCTGTCGCTGCGGTGGTGTTGACTGTTGTCGATTCGGGCAATGCGTGCGCGGGTGCCCAGGTGTTTTGCAGATGTGGCAGAACGGAGGTACGGGTTTTGGTTGTTGTTGTTGTTGTTGTTGTTGTAGCGTCGCTGAGTGTGGAACGCGAATTCCGGTACTGATGTTTTTCTCTTGTGTCTTTCTTCTTGCAGGTCCATGTCTTGCTGCTCGGCGTGGATTTCGGCGCAGAGCGCTGCTTCGGAGATTCTTCCGTGGGCTCGGAGAATGGCCTTTGTGGCGCGCCATTGAGGACCGAGACCGCCGATGATGACTGTCACGAAGGCGTCTTCAGATATCGACCCTCCGCATCGAAGAAGCTTGTCGCGCAGCTCGCGACATCGGCTGATATACGCCATTCCCTTCTCGCCTGGTTTCATTTCGACCGTTGTCAATTGCGCCATTAACCGACTCTGGTTTACGCTGTCTGTTGCTTGATACAGGTTCTTCAAGTGGCTGTATGCGAGCTCCGCGGAGTTGCCGTAACCTCGGTAAGACCGTATATTCTGCTGCTGAGTCGGTGTGATGTTTCTCAGTAGGATTGTGTACGCCATCATTGACTGATAGGTGTACTGCTGCTTCTCGTACTGTGTGCCGTTTGTTGGGTATGGCAGGGACCCGTCAAAGAAGCCAAGTATCTGCGTCCCTTCCATCATCAACTCGAATTCGAACGACCAGGTGAAGAAGTCCTTTCCATCGAAAGGCCTTGATGTTTGCAGCTTTAAAACATGCGCAAACTGCGGCTGAACTTGCAGTGCGTCCAGTGGTCTTTCTTGTCCAGGTGGAGGCTGCGGGTGCGGCATGAAGCTGATGGACCCGCGCTCGTACGGAGCAAAGGTAGGCTGTTGCTGTTGATTTCCGCGCGCGTATGATGAGCCATCAAGGCTCATCGGAGTCACGTCGTTGTTGTTGTTGTTGCTTGATTGCGCAGGTCCCGATTGCTGGTGTTGCTCGTAGAAGGACATGAAGGAGAAAAACTTCTCCATCATGCTCTGGTCGAAGCTGGCAGGTTGAGTTGCAGGGGTCTCGGTAGATGTTCCCCTTGGTTTGGTTGTCGTACCCTCCTCTGTCTGTAGGCCAGAGGCAGGAGGTGGAGTAGGAGTAGTACCCTGGGAGCCGTTAGAAGAGCTCCTCTCCTTTTGTGTTGCCATGTCTTGTGATGACTTGATAGTTTTTGAATCTCCCTTGTGAGCTCTCATACCATGTTAGGCTGAAACAGCCCTTAGGATCTTTTGCAAGGGTAAACTCTGGGTACAGATGATGTAATCGCAGAAGCTTTAATGATGTAATTGTGAACCACCTTGCGCTAGTATGTGAGGGCAAAGTAAGTTGATTAAAGCAAAGAGATACAAGCATTTAAGGAATATGAAGAGAAACGGTTATAACTACTTTACTGTTTGCTGTTGCGATTCGATACAGTGACGACTCGGGCAACCGCTCTGTAGCGAGTCAGTTGTGTGTCCTTGCTGTCGCGCTGTATTTGTCAGGTCAAAGGTCGCTGACCTTTGACTTTCGCGTAACATCCAACGGTTACTTTCAACCTCCGAGGGTTGACTCGCCGGTGTTTCGATATGCTTCGCTTCGCTCGTGCCACAGTGTTTCGACACGACAGAGGCGCTTAGGATTCATTGTTTCCAACAAACCCGTACACACAAATAGGTGTCGTATAAAAAGGCTAGCCTGTTTATAAGAGACACCCGTATAATAGACAACCCCTGTCTACTATTCAACACTGTCTTATGTCCGGGCGATGACGGTATTAGGGCGTGTTCCTACGGCCCCCTATCAGGCCGCCTCCTATCAAGCGAAAAAATCACACTGAAATTGACGCGAACCCTATACCCTTCGCGCATTTTACCAGGCAAGTCTGATAAGAGGTTGGCCTGATAAGGGGCCGTAGGAACACGCCCTTAGACTGCCAGCCAGGTATGATCCATGATTCCATAGGCTGATGGCAGAGCTGATCCTTCGCACGCAATGAATAAAAAACTCAAAATCTTGTCCACCATCAACCCTCAAGCTCCCATGCTGTTACCGCTACACATTCTAAAGCACACCATGTTGGACTGCTGCAGTAGACGCAGAGCCGCGTCACACCTCTCCTCCCACCGCCCAGCATTCACACCCCGATCATGCTGCTGATCACCCTTTTCATCCCCATGACCCTCTATCGCTTCTCTAAGCTCTAAATAGGCCTGCACCACTAAAGCCATGCCACCAGCACACGTGAATTCCTCACCCCCTGCGACCCCTTTTCCACCTTCCCTTCTCCCCCTTGCCTTGTCAGCGCATACCCGAGCCTCTGCAAGGTCGCCCTTCATGGCGTGCAGAGCAGCCAGATTCACATACACGCTCTCCCTCCACTCCCTCCATTTCCCCCCTGCTGCTGCTGCTGCTGCTGCTCCTGCGGCTCCTCCTGCAGCTGCTGCGCCTGATGCTCCTCCTGCCGACCCTGTGCCAGCTGTGGGAGGCGAAGCTTCCAGGAACTCGACAAGGCACTCGGAGAGAAGGCTCAGGGCGTCGGCAGGGCGGCCCAGGAGGCAAAGAGCCTCTGCTGCGTACATGCGCAGGGCGCTGCGCTGCCACGGGTCCGAGCTCCTGTCAGAGCTAAAAGTTTTCTGTGAGGTATGCTGTGTGCGTGGGTCGTTTGCGGAGTGAGGGGGAGGGTTGTTGCGGGTGTTGAGCAGGGAGAGCGCGTGTTGGGTGGTGGCAAGGCAGGCAAGGTGGTTGAGGAGGGAGAGCTCCACCCACGCGAGCTGGCTCAGGGCTGAGAGGAGCACATGGCGGTGGGCGGCGGGCAGGAGAAGTGGGGGAGTGAACGGCTTCTGGCTGCTGGTGGTGCTACTGCTGGTGCTGCTGCTGTTGACGGTGCTGGCGGCGCTGGGATGAGGGGGGTGCGAGAGCAGCAGATGGACAGCGTTTTTGAGACACATGCGCGCCAGGGGAAGAGGGTCCAGGCCCAGAGAGGACGACAGAGAGAGTGAAAGCTGATGTTGGAATTCTGCTGTGTCTGTACTGCTTGTTGCGTCTTTGGTACCGCTGCTGCTGATTTTGCTGCTGGCGTCGCTGCTGCTGCTGTGCTTAAGCGGACTGGTTGGTGATGCTTCTTGCTTCCCCGAATCGCCGTGAGTTACGCTCGCTCCTGCATCCCCTCGCACTCGCCTCGCCATGAGATCAGCAAGCCCGCTGAGGGCCGTCGATTCACCTGCTCCAGCGCCGTCGCGAGCCGTCGATTTGACTGGAGAGCTTCTGTCCGTGCTTTCAGCGTGAACCCCTGTTTCTGACTTGACTTCGGATCCGTCGCCGCGCGTGCCAGCTGGCAGCAGGACATACTGCCACGTGTCCTCGTTCCTTCCGCCGCTCATCACGGTCACCGTCATGCTGCTGGATCTAAGTGAGCCTTGCTGCTTTTGATTATCGTCCTGCTCCTCTTGCTGCTTTTCATGATGATCTGCCTCCTTCTGCTGCTTCACATAATAATCCCCATCCTCCTGCTGTTGCTGGTGGGCGAGAATGCAGCACTCTGCCAGTCGAAGCCACAACAGCGGCCAGTCACAGAAGACGCGCGAAACCTCCTGGAAACATCGCGCGGCCTTGACGGGATCGCCGCTGAGAAGCATCTGCAGGCCGAGCTGGTACACCAGCCGCGCTGCGTCGCCGTTGTTCTGTGCAAGCTGTGCTGACGTGTCGCGGCTGCGGGACATTACTTCCACGTCGGTACATTTTCTGGCGAGACTACCAGTATCCATTCACCTTGAATCGTGATCTTTCTGCGCTATCGACACAAGGCTTAGAGCAGCTCTAAATTCGCGATTAGAATCTCTAAGTGCAAGTCTAGATTCGTCTACAGATATAAGCGCTGTTTCACTAGCCAATTGTTGACTACGCCTCGCGCCTCGTCGTAGGACTCTAGTTACGCACTCAGGGTTTCGTCTGGGACACCTTCAGTATTCTCAGCTGCGACAACTCGCGCTTGGCCCCAAAGCGGACCGAACTGGACTCGTCTCGTGTCAATAAACCCAGGAAAACCCGAACCGCGACAACTTCAAAGGTGCCGAACTTTCATTGCCCACCTCTCGCCCTAGACTAGATTCCCAAGGACTCTTAGTTTCCCAGCCAGGTGTTACCTAGTCTAGAATCGAGGTGCGATGCGATTCCTTGGTGCTTGCTTGATTGATGTATTCATTGGATTGGGTTCTGATTGAAATTATTCTGATGGCGTGATGTGCTTCATTGAGTTATCTGCAGTAAAGTTGCATAAACTTTAACTTGTATTTTTACAAGAATCTTATAGCCAAAAACTGATGGGGCTTCAAGCGTGGATTTTTCCTAGCCAACTCGGAATATTTTACACCTCTGCCGCCGCAAAGCCGCAAAGCTGACGGATGCTCGCTCGGCCTCGCGGTGCGCTGACGTGGCACAGCTGGTTGAGTGTGACGGCGTAAGTAGGCTAGTACAGCTCTTAGGTGCCCACTAAGGAGTTCTTCTGCTTCACCTCCCAGACCCCAACTCCACGCCAATTGTAGAACAGAACGTCCCCCAGTTCTCAAGCAGTAGGCGACTTTATCAAGGCTCATTCAGCGCCAACGAAACTTCCCACTCGATCCGTATCTGATCCGCATCGTATCGTATCGTATCGTTGCACTCCTGAAACTCCACGCGACAGTAGAGCACTAGTTAATTACCAAGACAGCTCAGCAGCCAATAGCGCCTCCGCAGGCGTAGCTCTCATGACGCTCCTTGCAGTATGCCGCCGCGCTACCAACATTTGCTGTACTGCCGGAGCAATCTCTCCCCTACGTTGTTATAATAACGGAGCGCGTAATACGGGGGCGGTGTTTCTCCAGATGACTCACGTCTGTTCCTGTAGCAGTGGTTTGTCCTCCCTCTCTCAGAACCGAACCGCGTTCGGCTCGAAGCTCCACCGTAGTGGCCATAGCCGCGTGGCGACTCAACTCCACGTGGCGACTCAACGCCACGTGGTTCGATTATCCATCAATGCCAGCTCATCTGCCAGCTCAGCAGCGACGGTGTCCACATCTGCCACTTCAGCAGCCCCCGTGGCGCTAGACCCTTCGTACGGGAGTAAGGAGGTGATTAAAGTTGACACGCGCGTCTACCAATACATCCTGGAACACACCCGAGAACCTGAGGTGACTATAAGGAGTGTGACCTGGTGGTGTGACGGTAAGAAGTGGGACTGTAAGAGGTAATCTTTTCATGTCTGGGATGTCTCACAGGCTATTAGCAAGAAACCCGCTTTCCAATGTTCCGCATTCCCCCTCTGCTGCAACCACTCTCGCCCACCCTCTCTCTCCATCCCCGTTCACTGTGACCATAACTATGCCATGCCCAGTAACCTTTCCCATGCGCGCTTACCTTGTCTCCCTGCCCCAACCGGAAACAGCCTTCTGCGGCGCCTCAAAACTCTTACCTTGTCCCCTGCCCTGTCGAATATTACTGCCATGCTGCAGATTCTAGCTGAGCTGAGGAGGGAAACTGCCACCATGATTGGCAAAGAGATGCAGGTGAGGAGTAAGGCTATAACTTATACCCGCTATAAGCAGGTGCAGGGTGCAGATTCTTGCCGAGCTGAGGAGGAAAACGGCTACCATGATAGGCAAGGAGATGCAGGTGATGAACTACCATGCGTCATACCCGATATAAACGAGAGGTGGTCTTTTACCCGCTTGATTAAGGGCTTGTCTTGTCCCCGTTATAAGCAACTGAAGGGTGAAGTTGGGCTCAAAAGAGAAACCGCCACTACGATGGGCAAGAAACCGCCACTTCCCTCGCTCCCGCCCCAATCCAACCCATCCCATCCCATGCCACCCCATGCCATTCCATGCCATGCCATCCCATCCCAACCCATGCCATCCCGTCCCAACCCATCCCAACCCCCCCCATCACAGCCCATGCCATTCCATGCCATCCCATCCCATCCCATCCCATCCCATCCCATCCCATCCCATCCCATCCCATCCCATCCCATCCCATCCCATCCCATCCCATCCCATCCCATCCCATCCCATGCCACGCCATCCCATGCCATGCCACCTATGCCTGGTCGTGCTGGTGCACCTCATGGGGGCCAGGCAGTGCATTCACACACCTTTGCTTGCTTGCCCTGCCTGCCTGTCCGCCACCATCCCTGCAGGTGTCCCCAGAGCAGGGAGCGTTCCTGGCCATGCTGGTGCGGCTCATGGGAGCAGTGTGGATATACAACCTTTCCGGCATCCCTCATCCCCACGCACACATGCCCTTGTGTGTCTGCCCTTGTGTGTCTGCCCTTGTGTGTCTGCCCTTGTGTGTCTGCCCTTGTGTGTCTGCCCTTGTGTGTCTGCCCTTGTGTGTCTGCCCTTCTGTGTCTGCCCTTGTGTGTCTGCCCTTGTGTGTCTGCCCTTGTGTGTCTGCCCTTGTGTGTCTGCCCTTGTGTGTCTGCCCTTGTGTGTCTGCCCTTGTGTGTCTGCCCTTGTGTGTCTGCCCTTGTGTGTCTGCCCTTGTGTGTCTGCCCTTGTGTGTCTGCCTGTCCACCACCATCCATGCTGCAGGTGTCACCAGAGCAGGGAGCGTTCCTGGCCATGCTGGTGCGCCTGATGGGAGCAAAGCGTTGCATTGAGCTAGGCGTGTACACGGTGAGGCTTGGGACCACGGCTGCTGTGTGCCTTGTTGCAGCTTGCAATGTGTTGCTTCCCCCTTCCGCCTTCCCACTCCCCCTTCCGCCTTTCCCCTCCCCCTTCCGCCTTTCCCTTCCCCCTTCCGCCTTTCCCCTCCCCCTTCCGCCTTTCCCTTCCCCCTCCCGCCTCCCTCCCCCTCTCCACCTCCTCCCTCTCCACCTCCTCCCTCTCCACCTCCTCCCTCCTCCTACCGCCTTCCCTCCCTTTCCCCTCCGCTCCTCCTCCCTCTCTCCCTCTCCCCTCCCCTTGCCCCTCTCCCTCCCCCCACCGTCCTCGCTGCTCCATGGCTGTCCCTCGCTGCTCCGTGGCTGTCCCTCGCTGCTCCATGGCTGTCCCTCGCTGCTCCATGGCTGTCCCTCGCTGCTCCATGGCTGTCCCTCGCTGCTCCATGGCTGTCCCTCGCTGCTCCATGGCTGTCCCTCGCTGCTCCATGGCTGTCCCTCGCTGCTCCATGGCTGTCCCTCGCTGCTCCGTGGCTGTCCCTCCTCTTGCGTACGTCTCACTTTGTTGGTGCTGTCTTTTGAGACGCCTCAAAAGCTGTCTCTTACTTATGTCTCACTTTGTTGGTGCTGTGTGCTGCAAGGTATGTTCAACCCCCCTCGCACCGCACCACACCTGCTTGCCCATCTTCCGTTCCACCAGTCACACTCACCTGTCCTCCGCCCAGGGCCACTACTCCCTCTCTAGTTTTGACGCGCCTCAAAACTAGGCTCAAAACTTGAGGCGCCTCAAAACTAGGCTCAAAACTTGAGGCGCCTCAAAACTAGGCTCAAAACTTGAGGCGCCTCAAAACTAGGCTCAAAACTTGAGGTGCCTCAAAACTAGGCTCAAAACTTGAGGCGCCTCAAAACTAGGCTCAAAACTTGAGGCGCCTCAAAACTAGGCTCAAAACTTGAGGCGCCTCAAAACTAGGCTCAAAACTTGAGGCGCCTCAAAACTAGGCTCGAAACTTGAGGCGCCTCAAAACTAGGCTCAAAACTTGAGGCGCCTCAAAACTAGGCTCAAAACTTGAGGTGCCTCAAAACTAGGCTCAAAACTTGAGGCGCCTCAAAACTAGGCTCAAAACTTGAGGCGCCTCAAAACTAGGCTCAAAACTTGAGGCGCCTCAAAACTAGGCTCAAAACTTGAGGCGCCTCAAAACTAGGCTCGAAACTTGAGGCGCCTCAAAACTAGGCTCAAAACTTGAGGCGCCTCAAAAGTCGCTCCACCAGTCACACTCACCTGTCCTCCACCCAGGGCCACTACTCCCTCTCTGTCGCCGTCGCCCTTCCTCCCTCGTAGCACCACGCACTCACCCCTCCTCCTCGCCTGGGCTACTCATCCCTCTCACTGCCTCTGCCTTCCTTTCTTGAGGCCCCTAAAAAATTATGAGGCGCCTAGTAAAGTTGTCTTTTGAGGCGCCTCAAAAGCACCACGCACTCACCCCTCCTCCTCGCCTGGGCTACTCATCCCTCTCACTGCCTCTGCCTTCCTTTCTTGAGGCCCCTAAAAAATTATGAGGCGCCTAGTAAAGTTGTCTTTTGAGGCGCCTCAAAAGCACCACGCACTCACCCCTCCTCCTCGCCTGGGCTACTCATCCCTCTCACTGCCTCTGCCTTCCACTGAACGGTTTGCTCGTGTCGTACGTGTGAGGTGAGGGGGTGCCGCACACGTTTGTTTCGTTCCTTTTTTTACCACACGCGCCCATCTCCTCTTGCATCACACACTTATCCGTCTTTTGAGGCGCCTCAAAAGTCGCCCATCTCCTCTTGCATCACACACCTATCCGTCCTTCTCTCTCCTCCCCTCAGGGCTACTCCTCCCTCTCAGTGGCGCTCGCACTACCCCCAGACGGTCTGCTGGTGGCGTGTGTGAGAGGGTACTACACACGTTTTCGAACTCCCTTGCACCGCGCTGCACACCACACACGCCCACTAATATTCCGTTGCACCACACACTCTCGTTCGCCCAGGGCTACTCCTCCCTCTCGGTGGCGCTGGCACTCCCCCCAGACGGTCTCCTGGTGGCGTGTGAGAGGGTGCCGCACACGTTTGCAGTGGCGCAGCGATTCTATGAGAAGGCAGGCGTGAGGCACAAGGTGTGTGTGACGTGACTCTAATGAGAGCTGCTCTGGTGGGTGAGTACCTGTGGAAGCACAAGGTGTGGGTGTGTGACTCTAAAGAGGGCTGATGCTGTTTTGATTGAAACAAAGGGTGCCGCACTCGTTTGCAGTGGTGCAGCGATTCTGTGAGGGGGCTGGCGTGGAACACAAGGTGTGTGTGTGCTTGTGTGTGCGCGCGCACGAGCGTGCGTGCGCGTGTCTGTGGGCGTGTGCGTGTGTGTGTGTGTGTGTGTGTGTGTGTGTGTGTGGGTGTGGTTGTGGGTGTGTGCGTGTGTGTGTTGCGTGTGTGTGTGTGCGCACGCGTGTGTGCGTGCGTGTGCGTGTGTGCGTGCGCGTGCGCGTGTGGGTGTGTGGGTGCGTGTGTGCGTGTGCGTGCGTGTGCGTGTGCGTGCGCGTGTGGGTGTGTGCGTGCGTGTGTGTGCGCGCGCGCGCGTGGGTGGGTGTGTGTGTGTGTGGTGTGTGTGTGTGTGTGTGTGTGTGTGTGACTCTAACGAGGGCTGCTGCAGTGAATGAGTACCAGTGAAATCAGAAGGTGTGTATGCGGTTGTGGCTTTATCGGTGGCTGATGCGTGATTGATAGTAACAAGGGGTGAAGCTCAAGGTTTGTGTGTCTCTAGTGGTGAGGACTGATGCTTTATTACTGTAACACGGTGTCCCACACACGTTTGACTGTGGTCCAGCGATGCTACGAGAAGGTGTGAATCACCAGATGTAAGTGTATGCTTCTATTGATTGGTGCTGTGATGTTTGTAACACGACCAGGTCTGATGAGCCGATTTTATAGTCGACTCAAAAATCGACTCATCACACGCACAAGCTGTGACTAAATAACAAAGTGCTCCTCACCATTCTCTCACAACCCTCTGCCACCTCATTCGCACATTCTGCCGTACCAAACTCTCTGTTTTGCCCCACTCTAACCTCCCTCGTACTCCTCCATCCCCTTTTGTTTGTTTACCCCTTCTTACCCCGCTGGCCTGCTCTTACTCTTCAAACCCCCAACTTTTTTTTGCACGCCACACTCTGCGCCACACTCTGTGGCAGCTGCACCCCGTCCCTCTCTCTGCCCTGCTTTAGCATGCGACCCATCTCTCCTATCCCGTCCGCCCCACACCACCAGCCAGGTAGACCGCGGTTTGGCCTGGCACAGGGCACGCTGCAGCAACTGCACCCTCTTCCTTTGCTCCAACGCGCATTTGCTTGCTTCCCTCCGTCCTTCCTTGGGTTTCCCCCACACGTGCCGCTCCACACCACCAGGTGGATCCGCGGCTGGGCCTGGCAAAGGACACGCTGCAGCAGCTGCTGGAGGAAGGGCAGGCAGGCAGGTGAGCGGCAGACCACAGTGGCCTGCCGCAGGCAAGTGTGCACACACAGTGCCGGGTGAGCGAGAGATGTCATCGCTATCATTATGGGATGCACGAGCTTTGAGTTTTTTTCATTTCTGGATGCGGTTTTCAGGATTTTGGCTTCCTGAAGGCGATCTTCATCTCAAGGTGTGTCATCACCCAGCATGGTATTCGGATGTGATTTCACCATCACCATGTGTCATCATCACCATGTGTCATCATCACCCAAGCATGTGATAAGAATTGACTCAAAGGTCGCCGTTACCCACTCCTTCCCGTTTCTGCATGGATCGTCGCAGCTTTGACTTTGCGTTTCTGGACCCGGACAAGCGGATGCGCCAAGAATACTTCGATTTTCTGCTCACCTTTTTGGTCACTCCCCTTTAATCACCGCTCGCACCCATCTCACACCCACTCCTCCGTTCCCTCTCTGCACGGATCATCGCAGCTTTGACTTTGCGTTTCTAGATGCGGACAAGCGGATGTATCGAGAGTACTATGAGCTGCTGCTCACCCTGGTGAGTCGAAGTTTGTAAAATCTATTCCATGTCTTCCATGCCTCACCGTAAGTTTTGAGACGTCTCAAAACTTCACTCTTTACACATGTCTTCCATGCCTCACCGTAACGATTGTTAGTTAACTAGAGCCTCAACGCTACTACTTCATATGCACGTCCATTCGTTTCTCAAGTGATGAGATTACTAGTAGTGTACGTGTTTCGGCCGAAGCCCCTGTCACCAGCACCGTTTTTTTAAACGTCTCAAAAGTCGTCACCAGCACCGTTTTTTGAGACGTCTCAAAAGTCGTCACCAGCACAGTGGGATTGCAATAAAAATTCAGTCAACATCCTTTTAAGGCTTTTAAAGCTTCTAAAGCGTCTACCAGAACCCTTTGAAGTGGGAATCGATAGAGAAGGGACCATGCATCCTCTATGGGATGTGACCGTGCTGCTATTGATACCTCCTGGCTAAGGATTTTGGTGATGTGTCAAGTCTCACCAAATCTCACCCGTCGAATCTGGTTCATGCCCCGTCCCGCAAACATCCCAATTCACATGGAGCTGGATATGTTGCCATGCATGCCTCTGTGAAATCCATCCGTGCTACCATGCTGCTAATGACTCTGTTGACCTGGCTGTGGATTTTGGTGCTGTGTCAGCCCTCACATGCTTAATGATGCCAATAACCCAAAAAATCCCAAAAGCGAGACAGGCATGTGGGGAGGATATTATTCCGCATCCCAATCATTATACTATTCCTCATCACAACCCTGCAATCCTCCTCCACACCTTCCCGTCTCGCTCCCAGTTGAGGCCAGGGGGGTCTCCTAGTGATTGACAATGTGTTTTTGAGACGTCTCAAAACACATATCCTGATGATTTTATCACCCCTCTTTACAATAATTCTATCCACCATATGCTTGCTCGTCTCGCTTCCAGTTGAGGCCAGGGGGTCTCCTGGTGGTTGACAACGTTCTGTGGCATGGCCAGCTAGCTGATCCTCAGGTGAGTTTCCAGGTGATCTTGTAAATTTATCTGCTGTGTGATTTGACATGGCTCACAGACTCAGATCTACCGTAATCCCCCGCATAGTACACCCTAGGGTGTACTGATAAATACCCCTCTTCAGGGGGGTGTTTAATTATAGGGGGGGGTGTAAGCCTGCACCCATGGGTGTTATGTAATGACATTTTTTTAACTGAGAAAACACATGTTTTTTGTTCTGAACTCACATTCAATTATCGAATCGAACTGAACGAGACTTTGCACTGCGCGTGGTGTGAGAGCCATGTCATGCAGGCCCTAGCAGGCCTCTCGCACGCGCAAAAAACGGTCGCAGGCAGCCCCCCAGCCTTTGGTGATAGCCTTTCAGAGCGACGTGCCCCTCCCCATAGGGAATTTCGTTAGAAATAGCCTCTCGGTTTATGTTGAAATCAGGTGGCGGGTGTACTCAAAATTTCGGAAAAAATGGGGGGTGTTATAACTGGTGTATTTATGAGTACACCCACCGTAATTGAACACCCATGGGTGTTCAATTTTGGGGGGTGTACTCTGCGGGGGATTACGGTACATGAAAGGATGGCATGCTGCTCTTCTTCTTTGTGCTGGTGCATTGGTGGAAGTCATTTATTTTCCCTGCATGAAACACGCACGCTATCGTTTGCAACTACATTGTGTTTTCAGGTGACTGACCGTAAGACTGAATACCTCAGGGCATTCAACAAATTCATTCGTGATGATCCTCGCATCCATCATAGCATTGTAAGTGAGCGCGGAATGAAGTGGAAATTCCATAGCATTTCCTCTGCTTTCTTGTACCACTTTCTAGTACCATCTTGCCCCTTGTCACATGCCTGATAATCTGCCTTGTTGCGTTAAGTATTCATTGCACTTGTCTCGCTTCTTGCAGGTGCCTGTTGGAGATGGCGTGGCATTATGTCAAAAACTATAACACCATCGTGTACATTTTATTTTATGTGTCATAAGTGCAATACACTACTTATCCCGCTAAACCACGAGACATTGCGTACTCGACATAATCCCGTAAACCTCCGCAAACTCCTCGCTCTGTTTGTTGTCTGCTCCTAAAACCTCGCCTATCCTACCACTCGGCTCACAAAGCCCTACAACAATTCATGCTTGCGTAGTCGCATCTTTTCCGCAGCCATCCGCGCTGCGCGACACGTCCTAGGCGCAGCGGCGGCAAGCTACTCTCACTGCAATTCTGTGAGCGTTACAGCCGGACCGGGCAGCGTAGTACACGTGTTCTCGCGCTTAGGCCGGATGTAAAGCGCTTCGGGAGTTGGTTGGGAGCCCAGAGTGAGCTTTCTCGTTCTATGCCGCGACTGTAACCGTTTCAGCAGTAACCGCACTCCCGTTTCTGCCATGGGATTCGCTGCGGCGGGCTCGATTGCCGCGACAAGACCGTCCCTTGTCCTCCGATGCCGCAATGTGAGTAGTATCCCCTCTATAAGGCCGTCCCACAGGTCCATTCTCGTCCGCTTGCACACGTGGCGGTCGCTAACCTCTCCGCCGCTAGAGACATTTCATCCGCCAAACAGGCCGCGTAGCCACTCAGATTGCTGCGGATTTCGCGACTCACGAATAAGGCTTTTCAAGTTACCGCTCCATTCCAACTTAACTCTGACCAGACTATCAAATCCAATGCTGTCTAGACTGGTTACTTCGTCACATATTAGTCTCGCAGCTATTGTGCCGTCAGCGCAGGACGCGGAGGTGGTTACCAGTGGAGAAAACGACAAAGGCGCCCGCCCGGCGGGAGCTACAGCGCGCGCCGCTGAAAAAGAGGGGATAGAGGAGAGGGGAAGTGTGGAAGGGACAGTGACAATGGCAGCGAAGGAGGTACGGGAAGGCGGGGAAGGTAGAGAGCACGGCGAAGGAGTGGACGGGGCGGGAGGAGGAGCTGAGAGGGATGATCTGAGGGCTAAGCGCAGGAACAGACGAGCAGAGAAAAAAACAAGAAAGGCGCAGTCAACGGAGTCAACGGGGTCAATTGAGTCAACGGAGTCACTTCCGAGGCACGTGTCCGAGTGGCGCACGCGACCACTCGTTCCGCACGGCGCGTCCCAATGGCCGCAGATCCAATCCCTGGCCGCCACGTCAGCAGGCGCCAGCTTGTCAATCGACGCGATTTTCGCCGCCCTTGGCCTTCCGCCACTCGCGGACGGCCATCCGCTCCTCCCGGTGCGCGTTCGGCAGCACGTGAACCCCTTAAAGACGTCTCTAATGGCGCCGCCGCCGCCCGTGGACTGGGCGGAAGTGTATGAGGACCCGTCGCTGCCTCTGGTGGTGGACATTGGGTCGGCGAGTGGGCGGCTGGTTTTGGCGCTTGCTGTGAGGGACTGGAAGTGGCGTGAGCAGCAGCGAGGGGGGGAGGGGTGGGGAAAGGAGGAGAGGGAAAAGGCGGACGCATCAGATGCTAAGGTTGGTGCACCACCATCAGCATCATCAACATCATCAGCACCCCCGCCACTGCCACCGTCGTTTCTCCCATCCCCCCCGCTCAACTTCCTCGGGTTCGAAATCCGCGACAAGCTCGTGCAGCGCACCGACACGTGGCGCCGCCAGCTGGCGCTGCGCAACGCGCACTTCGTCGTCGCCAACGCCACGTCAGCGCTCGAATCCGTGCTGGCAACTTACCCGGGACCTTTAGTGGCCGTTTCGATCCTCTGCCCGGACCCACATTTCAAGAAGAAGCACAGGAAGAGGCGGGTGGTGCAGCAGGGACTGGTCGAGGCGATTGGGCGGGTGATGGTGCCAGGTGGACACGTGTTTGTGGAGTCTGACGTGGAAGAGGTGGCTGCTGACATGTACCGGCAGTTTGCGGAGTATGGGAGTGGAGGAGGGGAGGGGGGTGCTGGGGATGAGGGGGGGAGAGGGAAGAGTGAGGATGAGGGAGGGGAGAGTGAGAGCGAGGGAGAGGAGAGCTCCACAGATATCGAAGGCGTGGCAACAATGAGATTTGTTCCAAGCGACCTTGTTGCAGCAGGAGGAGCGGGCGAGGGGGAGGAAGGAGAGGAAATAGTGTGGCAGGAGCGGGCAGGTGTGGGGTGCGCAGGGGAGGGGAGCGCAGGGGAAGGGAGTGCAGGGGATGGGAGTGCACTGGAAGGGAGTGCAGGAGAGGCCATAAGGTGGTTGGGTCACAACCCTCTGGGAATGCCGAGTGAGAGGGAGGTGGTGGTGCTGCTGCAGGGTTCACCCATGTACCGCGCTCTCTTTGTGAAGCAGTAGAGCAAGGAGGCTCCCTCCTTGGCAGATGTGTCGTGCTGTCTTTGACACGCTAGGCTAGGCTCCCTCCTTGCATGTTTTTGCCCATATCACGCCTGCTGCGGCCGTGCTTGCCTAGTATTTCTCCCGATATTCCGAGCAATGTACAAGGGATGGTACCGTTGGTGGAAAGGATAACTCTCTGGGGAAATGCAATCGATCTTGTTACTTTCATTTTGAAACAAGTGACGACCATCAATCTTTTTCAGTTATACAGCGTTGGAGCAATCTGATCATTCACAAACCATGATCGCATGCTCTAGCAGGCACCCTTTTTTTTTTTTTGGGTTGCGTAGCAACCCTATACATTTGGTAGCACTTTTCGATCGACTCGAATGAACAGTGCAGTTTTTGTCATTTTCCCAACGCTTAAAGCCCTCGTTTTTACGTTTTCAAAACGAGTGCTCCAAGGTTGTGGACATGACGAAAGCACTGACACAAGAGTCCCCCCAAAATGAAACCAAATGTAACCTTTCATTCCATAATCGTCGATAAATACGGCGAATGGAACAATCGGTCGTCACGAAACACAATTGACGAGAAACATCCACTGGACGAGAACGCAAATCATGTGCAGCACATCCACTGATCACGCGCAAAAACAAACACATAACAACTAAGAGTGAATGCTAAAATGCATGGATGCTACAACAGAGATGGTTCCGGTATGCTAAGGCGAGCAACGCTGCCCCAACAACGATCCCCACCTCAAATGCAGACCCGACGCATTTTAACTGTCAGAATGTGATGGCTGTCTAGCCTGCAGTGGGGTACTCTATAGCGAGTACAGCCCTTCTAGGGTTTGCATATATGTATCCCTATGCTTGTTAGTCAAAACCCCTTCTTGCCTGTTTCTCGTTTTGGCCTAGCATTTTGACATGCTATCAGAGCGGGTCGACCCTCCTGGGTCGATCCTGTGGGTGGTCCCACCAGAAGCTTCCGCTGTTGTTTCCTGCTGTTTCCTGCCTGCCGCGCGCTCCGGGCGCGCAGCGATTTTTTCTTCCCGCCGCGCGCCCGGGGCGCGCGGCGGTTTTCTGCCCCGTCACTCGGCGCGTCGCCCCCGGGAGGCGCTGCGACGGGCGACGGGGACCCGCGCGTCGCCCCCCGTCGCCCGTCGTGGCCTGCGCGCGGCCCGTACAGCCGGCGCGCGGCCCGTACGGGCTGCGCCAGGCCCGCGCGCGGCTCGGGCCGCCTGCGCGCGGTTCGGGCGGCTATGCCAGGCCCGTGGGCGGCCCGTTCCTCGCTGCCCCTGCCCTCCCCACTGTCCCCCGTGCTTCTACTGGCGCCCCACCCCTCCTACAGCCCGTTCTCCTGAATTAGGGTTTGGGGGTGAGGGGTATGGGGGTGAAGCCACTGAGTGCCGTCCCCTCCTCCTCCTCCTTCTCCGTCTCCCACTGCTGCAGCTGCCGCTGAGGGGGGTGGGTGTGTGGGAGCCGAGGGAGTGGCGCTAGGGGGTGTAGTGTGAGCGGTGCTAGGGGAACAGCAGGGGGTGTGTAAAAAGGGGGTGGGACAGCTGGGGGAAGTTGAGAGGAGGCCGTCGACTTGTCGTCCGCAGCGCCTGAAGTCCAGGGAGCCACGACCCCCTGTGGCCTGAGTAGTCCGGGGCTCTGCGCCCGGTAGCTACAGTGTGTGCACTCCTGGGAGCACAGCGAGCCAGCTGCGACCCCCTGTCGCCGTGTAGTCCGGGTTTAGCCTGGTAGCGTCAGTGCGGCGTACTCCTGCTGCCTGTGTGTCTGCAGCTTCAGCCGTCGCCTCTCATCTTCTTGCTCCCACAGTTTTCTCCTCCTCCTCACTTGCCCTCTGTGATAGCCTCTAGCTTTGCTTATAATTGTGAACTATTGCTCTGTCTGCTTGTTATGTTGATTGTACCCCACTTTGACTATGGGGGTGTGTCAGAATGTGATGGTTGTCTAGCCTGCAGTGGGGTACTCTATAGCGAGTACAGCCCTTCTAGGGTTTGCATATATGTATCCCTATGCTTGTTAGTCAAAACCCCTTCTTGCCTGTTTCTCGTTTTGGCCTAGCATTTTGACATTAACATCACACCTCAGTTGCATAACACGTGCAAAAACAACACAAACAATTGTGAGTGGATGCTAAAATGCATCGGTGCTACAGTAGAGGTGGTTCCGGTATGCTAAGGCGAGCAACGCTGCCCCAACAACGATCCCCACCTCAAATGCAGACCCTGTCAAAACTGGGAGCTTAGCTTAGAAACCATACTTGGGCTTAGGTAGCGAGAGGTTTGGCAAAAGGAAGGGGTTTGCACTAGAAAGGATGTTACAAGTGTTGAACTATATTTATATATGTTCTTTATAATTGTCTGCAGTGTAGAGTGTAGCACATCCCAATTTGCTGTAGGTGGTGCACCATGCTTCTCCTTGCTATATTTTGTACTCATCTTTCTTAGTGAAACCACTTCTTCCTGCTTCAACTCTCTCGACACCTCCTTCAACCCTAAAACCTAAGTTCTTCACCACTAAAGCTATGGCTCCTAAGCCTAGCTGTCCTTAGTCATTTTGACATGGTATCTAGAGCGAGCATGTTCCTGCCGCCTAGCTTAACGGGCCCACCAACTGCTTCTGCTGCCGTACTGTCCGTCGCGCGCCCCGTGGTGCGCGGCGCTGCATTTTTCTTCCCGCCACGCGCTCGTAGCGCGTGGCGGCCTTTTCTGCCCGCCACGCGCTCGGGGCGCGTGGCGGTTTCACCGTCCGTCGAGGCGCCCTCAGGGGGGCCTTCGCGCTGCCCCTCTCCGTCGCCCGTCGCGGCGCCCGTGGGGCCTGCGAGCTGCCCCCCCCCCCCCCCCCGTTGCTCGTTGCGGCGCCTTTAGGGGGCCCGCCCGCTGCCCCCTCCGTCGCCCGTCGCGTGCGACCCGCCCGTGCAGCAGCTCGCGACGCCGCCCCTGCAGCAGCGCGCGAGCCGCCACTGCACCTGCAGCAGCCGCCCCTGGCCCCTGGAGCAGCCGCCCCTGGAGCAGCCGCCCCTGCAGCAGCCGCCCCTGGCCCCTGGAGCAGCCGCCTCTGCAGCAGCCGCCCCTGGCTTCTGGAGCAGCCCGCACCTGCAGCAGCCGCCCCTGGCCCCTGGAGCAGCCGCCCCTGGAGCAGCCGCCCCTGGCCCCTGGAGCAGCCGCCCCTGCAGCAGCCGCCCCTGGCCCCTGGAGCAACCGCACCAGCAGCAGCCGACCATGCAGCTGCCCGCGACGCCGCTCCTGGACCCTGTGCAGCCGTGGGGGGAGGGTATGGGGGTGGCGGGTGTGGGGGTGATGAGTGTGGGTGCTACCCTTCCCCTCCTCCTCCTCCTCCTTCGTCTCCCACTGCTGCAGCTGCCGCTGAGGGGGGTGGATGTGTGGGAGCCGAGGGGAGTGGAGACAGGGGTGCAGCAAGGGGTGTGTGAGAAGGGGGTGTGGGACTGTTAGGGGAGGTAGAGCGGAGGTCGCCGTCGTGTCGTCAGCAGCGCCAGTAGTCCGGAGCCCTCGTGCTCTCGGTAGCCCAGCGAGCCTGCTTCGCCAGTCGCCTGTGGGTCCGTTGCTCCTGCCGCTCGTCGTAGCCGCGGAGCCAGATACTCCCGTAGTCCGGTGCCCTCGTGCGCTCGGTAGCCACTGTGCGCGCCGCTCCTGTTGCCCGTGTGACTGCGGCTTCACCTGTCGCCTCCTATCTCCACTCCTCTCACAGTCCCTCCTCCTCCTCCTCACTTCGCCTCTTCTTCAGTTGCGCCCTGCAGGGTGTACCACTTCAGGGGTGTTCTGTACATGGTTCTCACTGCAATCAATTAGGGGGTGTGTTGAACTATATTTATATATGTTCTTTATAATTGTCTGCAGTGTAGAGTGTAGCACATCCCAATTTGCTGTAGGTGGTGCACCATGCTTCTCCTTGCTATATTTTGTACTCATCTTTCTTAGTGAAACCACTTCTTCCTGCTTCAACTCTCTCGACACCTCCTCCTAAGCCTAGCTGTCCTTAGTCATTTTGACAACAAGATATAGGAAGGGAAAGGGAAAAGGGAAAGGGTACACCACCAGCAGTTGGTTCTAATAACTAATCTAACTAATACACTAGCAAGCTGCAGGCAGTTATAAGATATGCAATATAAATTAACACACCCCCGTAACTGCCTACGGCTATAGCTAGTGGTGTCTGGTAGCAGGTCGCCTGAAGAGCAGTTGCTGTAGCTGGGATACGCACAGAAACAGCAGTGGCTGATCGGCATCACCTCTGACTGCCAGAACGGAGGGCGGAGGGCTAATTTGGAGGGCGTAGGCTGCCGGTGTTACACACCAACGGTTGGATAGGAGAAGGAAGCTGGTGGCGCACAGGCGGAGAGCCGAGGAGAAGCGGCTGGAGGAGCAAACAAGCGGAGGAGGAGGCGGCTGGAGGAGAGGAGAGGAGAGAAGGGGCGGCTGGTGCAGAGGAGAGAGGAGACGAGAGGAGAGGAGGCGGCTGGCGCGGCAGAAGCTCTCGTGCCACCCCCTCACCCTCCTCCCCCCCCCCCACAGCGACAGGCGCTGCAGGGAGAGAGCAAGGAGCTGGTCACCCCCGCCACCCCCCCTCATCCCCCTCCCCCCCATGCGCTGGCGCTGGCGGAAGTGCTGGCGCTGGGCGCTGGCGTCGCGCTGGCGCTGGCGCCCGCCGTTGGCGCTGGCGCTGGCGCTGGCCCCCGTCGTCGGCGCTGGCGTCCGCGCTAGCGCTGGCAACCGCCGTTGGCGCTGGGCGCTGGCGTCGCGGCGCTGGCGCTGGCCTCCGCCGTGGCGCTGGCGCTGGCGTCCGCCGTCGGCGCTGGTCGCTGGCGCTGGGCGCTGGCGCTGGCACTCGCGCTCCCGCTGGCGACTGTCGCTGGCGCATTCGCGAACGCGCTGGCGGGTCGATGGCGCTCGCCATGATGTCCGCCGCGACCGTCGCCCTGAGCGCCGCGAAGAGGCAGGCAAATTGAAGGCGACGGGGGGCAACGCGACGGGTTCAGCATAA